TCGAAAGGTTACTTACCCAGGTTACACGAGTTTTTGGATTGTGAAGCGACTGAGTCGCCGTTTTCTAGTCATCACAATATATATCTTTTGGATTGTATGGAGAATTCGAATTTGCATTAATTATTAAATAAAATTTGTCTAGCGACTAAATTTAGGTCAGGTTCTAGGTGAATGGCCAGTGATTCATAGCTATCGGCATATTTTTATATAGTAAAGCAAAAAAAATGGGTATCAAAAGTCAAAATGTTACTCTAGAAAGGCGAAAACGTTAAAAGCTAAAGTATTTTGATGTCACCAATGATTCTGTGGATGAACGCAAAGTTCATATTGGTATGTAAACCTACCTGATACACTACGTTCCTGGTATATTGGATATTCTATGCTAGAATTGATGTGACCAGATGACTCGCATCATAAATATTAGAAATCAAATTTTAAGTAATAGATTAAACTATAGTCCTGCATAAATTAAATAATCTGGGATGAGTTCTAAACCTAATTTTCACATGTAGTGATTTGGGATTTTCAGCCATAATATTAGTTATATGTTTAAAACGTTTGATATTGCAGCAAATTAGGGGCATTTTGTGAAACCTAGTAAATTCTGTTTGGGTTTCTACCTAATCCCAAACTAATAGGTTTGGGGCGCAACCCTAATTTACACGTTGTGAAAGGCCTAGAGATGGGGGAAATGCGCATTTTATAATAACATGCGCATGATATAATTTTTTGATTTTATATTTTCCCTCCGGAAAATATCGGATATTTGCCAAAATTTTACCCGACCCTTCTCATCTTTATGTTCATTCATTTTCTTTTCAGAATTTTTCAAAACTTCCGCATTGCTATTTCTTAAGTTTGCCTGGCATTATATCTTGGCCTAAATTAAATATACTTTAATTTTCCTATATAAAATTTAGATGGGATAAAATGCGCATTAATACGTACGATTGAGGAATCATGCGCACGCATGAAACCCATCTCTAGAAAGGCCTCTAAGTCCTGGCCCTACGAATATTATTATTATTATTATTATTATGTTATTTTCTTTTCTCCTTATTCGTATATCTCCAAAAATAGATATTTTACGACATTTATGTACTATTAGCACATTTCGTCCCATATTATTAGTACATTACGTTTCTTGACTGTAATTTTGGTACACTGTACCATACGCTTAGTACAAATTATTATATCATTTTAAGATAGCTTCATGTGTCAGACACAGTAAAAAGTATAAATGCGACGATTAGTGTGTTGTAATAAAAGAATAACTTAGAGTTGGCATAGCTCTGAAGAGTTCGACTCAACTAGAGCTCTATCTTGCCCTAATAACTCGGACTAAGTCTTTCCACGCCTCTTTCTTGCTTTCCTCCATTAGGGTTGATAGAGTTTAATAGTTGTAGTGTTGATTTGGATTAGTTTAGATTAGTTGATGCCCGTGATGACTGTATTTTGAGATTCCGGATCGACTTTGCCCCTCACAACGTACATATAAAATAATGAAAGTTACATTTTCTAAATAAGTGTCTAGGAAAATTTTAAATTATAATTTAAATGTGGTATAATATATTAATAGTATTAATATTATAAAAAATTAAATAAATAATAAAATTGTTATTTCCGATTGATTAACTGTCATAAATGAGAGAATAAATTAAAAACCCTGATAGTAACATTTTCACGAGCTGAATTTGATAAATAATAAATGATAAACGAAGTTTCATTTTCTTTGGTAGTTCTCAGATGATTTCTATACATTTTGGGTTCGTACATTTTACATCTCTTTTTTTTATCTCAGTGTGTTACTTTTTATTTATTAACTTTTTTTATTTCCAATTAGTCATACTACTATGCATTACATATTATATCATTCATTCATCATTTTTCTATCAACACAGTCCGTCTTACATTTGTGATCTTGATTCGCCATTCGAAAGAGCCATAGCCCCGCGTTATATTGTTAGCAAAAATTCCAAAATGTTATGATCATGCATTTATAAATACAGTAGATTAATCGAGAACCCAAAATTTTTTGAGCGTTCATTTTCATTTTTTTTTTTTGTAGGATTTTAATAGGTTGATGAAATGATAATTAATCACTGATCATCAAAGATGAGAAGGAAAGAATTTGTTAATCACTTATAAATGTATAGCGATTTTCAACTCGTTAAAACTCGGGAAAATATACACATCTTTCACATGTGCAAATTTATTGTAAGAGGACAAATACAAGGAAAATACATTAAATTTTGTTCCCAACTTAAACTACAGGCACCTTAACAAGCTATTTAACTATATCAATATTTTAAAGGCGCCTATGCTTATCTATTATTAAGGTACGTTGATATCTCTTAGGCTGATTCTAACATTCAAATCATAAACCACATTCGCGCCATTATAATTGTATTTTATATTTTCATCTTTAACTAATTCAACATTATACTTACTATAAAATTTAACTGTCAAGATCTTCAACCAATTCATCGCCATATGTTTTCCAGGACAAATTCTGACGCCACCACCAAACAGTGTAAAATCATTGCTAGTATTATCTTCATTTAAAAATCTATCAGGATTGAAAATTTTAGGATCATTCCAATAATCAGGATTGTTTGAAATATTTTGATGATCTATCCAAAAGCTGGTTCCGCTTGGCCAATTATATCCAGCAATATTTTCTTCAGAGCTTAAAACTTTTACTGTAAACGGTGCCGGTGCAATGTAACGCATTGATTCCTTAATAACTGCTTCAGTGTAACGGCAATTTATAAGTTTTTCAATAGTGAAATAATCATTAAAGTCAGACCCAAAAACTTCATCGATTTCTTTACGAATCTTGATAAGAATTTCCGGATTTTTTGCAATATTATATACCACGAAACAGAATGCATCATTGGTCTGTTAAATATAAGTAGTATACAGTAAATAAAGATATATATAGTATATATTAAATATTAGGAAATCAAAATTTAATAAAGGTCCGAAGCATAAATAATATTTATTGTGGCGGCTGAAGCTGAGATTTGCTGAAGCTGAAATTAGGGGCCTCTATTTAAATTACAATACAATTCATTTATACTTTTTTATTAATAAAACTACCCCTAAACCCTAACCTAACTCTAATAAAAACATTCAGCTTCAGCTGCCACATTTATTATATGTTGCACTTTGTTACATCAGCTGCAGTGCAACTTAAACTTTAATTCTCGAATTTTATTGGTTTGAACCATCTAACACTGCATAAATGTGCATCACTTGTCTGGAATTAAGGTTTCAGACAATCATTTATATATAAGAGAATAGTTAACACTTACCGAGCCAATGCCGGCTAATAGAACATCCCATAAAATAGCGTTAACTTCATAAGCTGTAATCGGTGCCATATTGTCGCTATCATCATTATATTCGGGATTTTGTAAAGTATGAGCCATCAACAAACTATCTAATAAATCCGAACTTAGATCTGCGCCTTCTTTAAGTTCTTGTTTTCTTTTATTAACAATATTTATTATAGTATTATTAATAAAATCAATATTGCGTTCGCTTTTCTTTCTGAATGATGTAAAGCTAGGCACGTAATTCATTATAAATGAGGGAGTAAGCATAAAAAATGTAAGCGATTCAATAAAGGTATGTATGGAATTAGCTATCACTAATGATTTTTTTTCTTCTTCTGAGCGAACTATTTCATTACTTGAGTCAAATGAAACTAAACTGCAAGATGGTAGTTTTGTGATTTGAATAATCGCGAGATCCGTTGCGAAGAACTTTATCCACAAACTAATGTCAAATTCTATACCATCTTTTATAGTTAAATTCCATCTTTCCTCAGATTCTTTGAATAGTTTTTGAACACTAAATACAAATCCACTAAAGAATTTCGGCGTTGATAATGCACGAGCTATTAATTTACGATTTCGGTGCCACGAATTATGGTCATTATTAAAAAATATTCCTTTATCAAGTCCTAATTTTTCAAATGAAGGAATTGGAGGTCGTTTGAAAAATGTTAAAGTTGGTTTGTAAATTTTTTCAATATGTTTAACATGGTTGATAATTATATAACGTTGAAAGCCAATATAAAATTCCCAAATCGTGCCCGCCTTTTCAGCATTTTTTTTGTACCATGAATGAGGATTTTTTCCGTGTATATGAATGGTTCCTAAAATTGGAATTGGTATAGGGCCTGGCAATGGGTTTTGACGAGTAAAATACTTATAGTAGAAGTGTGCTACATAAATAACAAGTAATGCTAATATAATGGAGGTCCAGTTTGTAAAATAAGGACTTAAGGTCGGTAGAAGCATTTTTTTTTTATAGAAATATTTGTCTAAAACTATCAATATTTATAATAGTTCGGGATGTACTAATTTAATCTTAAAATGAAACCTTTTGAATGAAGGTTTTGGATCCATAGAATATTCAGAGTATATTTACACGAGATTATTTATGTATGGACATTAGCACTAGGCTTCATAATGCATGATGCCCAAAGATTCGTAGTAGGATTTTCGGATGATTGGCTATCATGCCCTACTTAATTCTACAATTTAATGTACTTTAAAAGATAATCTTATCGTGCAAACTCTTATGATCATAGATTTTTTTCTTCTTGTTATTTTTTGTACGTTATTACATAAGCACAACAAT